CGTACCCAATATGCCAAATACCAGTAACATTGATGGGTCTCATTCTCCTAACCCTGAAAGAGCCTTGAATATGGCACTTTTTAAAAAATCGCAGGGCTAGGACGAAGGAGACTTTACTGGGGCCTGCTTGAGGCAATTGATGAACAACAGGATGGTCGTGATTGTGATCATGATCTGATATGTGACAAATCTTCATACTACCAACAGTATTCTTTTCCAATAATGGAAATTTTATGGAACTCACTTGTCTTTTCAAAAGTACCAACCAGAATTCTATGCATGATCTTTCTGTCTCTCATGCATTTCATCGTAGTGTCCAATTATATTTCAAATATTTATTAATTGTTAATGTTCCTCTGCCTCCTTTATGTTCCTGTGGACTGCTATGTCTCATGGTCTTCCTTGCTCCACCTTTGTTCCCAAGCAATCCATTACTTACATTGTAGTGCGAACAATGTCTTCAAAATCTCAGTTTTCTTATTTTTCTTAAAACATTTTGATGGTTTCCCTGGTAGGAAAACAACCAGAATTTTTGAGGCCTGCAGATTCTATAAATCTATATTTTTATTTTATAAAAATATGACTGCCGAGAGTATCTCGCCTGCACGGCAAAGCGTGGCAAGCTACCCATGATGTATTCGATATGCCAAACACAGTAAAAAGTCTCACAATGTTACTGGGCCTGCTCGAGCAAATTGATGAACAGTGGGAGGACAGTGACAGTGACAGATGACATTTGTTATTTATTAAAACTTTATCCCCTACCTATTACTTGCTGCACTCTTATACTTCATCTTAGAGTTCTTAAATTCATTTTGGCACCATCGTAGGCTTAATTTAATCTCCAAAATGAGTGAGAATGCAAAAGAATCTTTGTTTATTGAGTTCTACCTACTATATTAGAAACTAAAACAAAAATTTTAATTATTAGATAACCATTCTAAAAATAACAATTATAAATGTATTACATGTTGACGTAAATAACAATTCTTGTAATTACAACTTGTTTGAAAAGCAAGTATAGCAAATAGCATTGTTGTTTATTTTTGCAAATCTTTTAGTGATAGGGCATAGTAAAGACAGTGAACTCTAGTTTCACATCTGCTTCTGAATGCTATTTGTTGGGATACATTTTTTTCATTGATGTGCATGAAGAAAATCCAGTCCCATGCTAATATATAGTTTAGGGAGGAGTTTTTTATATGGATGACCTTTTCAGATCATATTTGCTGCTATTCTGATACTACACAGAACTTGGGAATTGCCAGCTTCTTTAAGAAAAATAAGATGTGGCATCTAATGACAAATCCTTGGCCTTGGATTATGAAACTCAGATTACGAAGCAGCGGGGAAATGACAAGGTGAACTAGCAGTGACTGTGGTAGAAGGTCTTGGGCGCTTAGTGGTGAGGTGCAATAAACTACAGCAGAAGCGCAAATGTTAACATTTTAACTATGTTACATAAATTATAATAAAGGAAATTTTGAAAAGACTTACATGGTACCTGAAACAATATGTGTTTTTTATACTCCGATATTAATTGTTTGATTTTTTAAAAAATAGTACTGTATATGATCTTCCAAATACTCAATTTGAAGTATTTTTAAATCACTAAACATTGCCACTGATTTTATCGAGAAAAAAATTGTTAAGTATTAATAGGCCATCTACTCTTGGTTTTAGATACGTGTTTTCCAAAATTTTCATTTTTCCCCGAAATTTCAAATTTTATTAAAATTTTATTTGAAAGGACAGGTTTACTTTTTGCATTGGAAAAAAATGTTTGCCAAATGCCCAATTTATATATTTGTCAGTTCTTTCCTATAAAATTAATCGTCTTTCAAAAGTGATTAATTCAATTCACAGCTCAAACTATGGCATGTGACTTTCTTCAAAGTCATATCCATGTTTCTTCAAGACACCATACTTTATTATGCATAGACTTGCTCTAAAAATATTGCCTAGGGGCTGGAGTGATAGCACAGTGGGTAGGGCGTTTGCCTTGCACGTGGCCAACCCGGGTTTGATTCCCAGCATCCCATATGGTCCCCTGAGCACTGCCAGGAGTAACTCCTGAGTGCAGAGCCAGGAATAACCCCTGTGCATCACCGGGTGTGACCCAAAAAGAAAAAAATTATTGCCTATTTTATCTTTATCCAAGCAGTATTTTTTTAAGGTAGCCATGTGGGTCCCTAGGATATTCTATGGAGGCTACAGGTGAAAATCATATAAATTCGGGGGACGTGGCACAAATATTGGGGCCAGCCTGTAGGGTCGAGGGAGAGGGTCAGAGAAAGAGAACAAGGTCAGAATGTAGCCATGATCAGAAAAAGATTCAGAAACATTGATAAACAGAATAACCAAAAAAAAAATGGACTTAAGATTTGAAATTTGATAGAATGATGTTTACTGTTTCTTCATACTTTTGTTTTGAGGCAACCTCTGGGGCTGCTCCCCGATTGGTGCTCAAGGGACTCTGCAGTCCTGGATCAAACTGATATCCAGCATGAAAGCATGTACTCCAGACCTTTGAGCTATAACCCAGTCCAATATCTTCATTTGCATTTTTTTCCTTGCCCTTCCAAGACTATGGAGTTTTTAGCATCACTATGGCACATGTGGTACACCCAGGTTTGAACTAAACTTTATTATGCCAAACAAGTGCTCAAGCCACTGAACCATCTTCTGGGCCCCTTTAGGTTTTTGTGCCACACCCAATGGAGCTCAGGGCTTAAACCTGGTTTTGTTCTCAGGGATCACTCATGGTGGGACTTGGGGATCCCAGGGATGCCAGGGATCAAACCCAGGTCAGTTATGTGTAAGGAATGCACTCTACCTGCTGTACTATCTTACTGTGAGCTCCACTGTTATCCCTCCAACCTTTTTTCCCCCTTTTTTTAATGTAGGAGTACTGCTATTTATTTAGCCACTGATTAGCTGATTGAATTGTGCATGAACTCCACTTTGCTTTTCTTTTTTCATTTTTTTCATCTTATATTTATTTATTGAATCACTGTGGGAAAAGTTACTAAGCTTTCAGGTTTAAGTCTCGGTCATACAATGATCAAACACCTTTCCCTTCATTAGTACTCACTTTTCACCACAAGAACCCCAATATACCCCCCTCCCACTCCACCCAATGCCTGTGAGGCAGATGATTTCTACTTAACTCTTCTCTACACTGATTACATTCATCATTTCGACAAAAAAAGATGCACCATTATTGTTTAGAATTTCCCCCCCAACAATTAGAATTGCTGAAAAGGCATTGTGAAATACGTTATTTTCTATAGCTGGTTATGAGAATCATATAATGTTGTGCGGCTGCTATTGCAGCCACACAATTTTGGATTTCTGCAAAGAGCCAGATCATTATGAGATTGGTTTCTGTGTGTCTGGTGTTATGGCTGTACTGAAGAGCCGCTTGTGGGGGGTAACTCAGGACCTCGGTAGGGCGTGAAGGACGAGCCAGTACCGCCCCCATCCCATGAGACTGCAATTGCCCCATCACCGCCAGCTCATACCTGGCTTTCCTGTAAGTTCTGAGGTGGCGGCCACCTTGCTGCCGTTGGGGAGAAAAGGCAGAAGGGAGCAACACCCTTTCCCTCCCGGGGAGGCATGGCACCATAGTTTAACGCATGGTCCATTCACTTTTCTGCCGCAAGCTGCCAGGCTCTGGATTAAGTCCTTTTGCCTCTGGAGCCATGGCCGTGCTGGAGAGATGCTTGTTGGGGGCAACTCGTGACCTCAGTAGGGCGTGAAGGATGAGTCGGTACTGGCCCCCTTCCCATGAGACTGCAGTTCCCTTTTTTTTTTATAGTATATTATTGGGCCAGGGAGATAGATAGTACAGTAGGTAAGATGTTTTCCTTATGCACAGCTGACCTGGGTTTGTTCCTTGACACCCCATAAGATTTCCTGAGCCCTGCCGGAAGTGATCCCTAAATGAAGAGTATAAGCCCTGAGTACTACCAGGTGATCCAAAAATCAAAACAAAACCAATAAATAATGGGTAAGAATAAAATGCTAACCTTGATTTATGTTCTCATAAGCAGTTGAATCACTATTATGTTTATAAAACCACTAGAAATGTTAAGGTAGTGAAAAGGGTGAAGAAAAATATTTAAATTTATGGATTCCTTGGGGACCATGGGCTGAGCTAAGTGGTCTTCTACTCAGTTTTCCCATCTAGTTCTCTGTGCTTCTACTGGGCTGATAGCTCTGTGATATTTGAAAGTGTTGTGTGGCTGCACACTTCAAGAGCATTGGAGTGAGGATGATCAGCTACAGGTGTCTCAGGCATCTCTCTGAGATAAGTCGTGAGGCTGGGCCATTTCTCTGGCAGCAGTGGGAGCCTGATGTGGGTTGGTGGAACACTGGGACTTTGACGGGTTGAGGACTCTGTCTGCCTCACTAATGCTCTAGAGATGTGGTCCAGGGGAGACTGCCTACCCAGAATCTAACGAATAATTTTGTGGATGTATCATTTCCAATATCTGGTATAACTTTCAGAGATGATATATTTTTAAAATCAGGGACATATTATGAAAGTATTATAAAGAAAGAGTAAGATGGAAATGCTATATTTATGTTGACAGGAGTAGGATTGGACAGTTAAAAACCTTATAGTCGTAACCACCCTCTACACTAGGGCATTGGATATTTGTTATTTGATAGTAGATATTCCAAAATTTTTCTCTCTTATCCTGATCTCATGTGCTCATTACTCTTTATTCAGTATATTTTTACATCTATATCCCTCTGTTTTCTCCTATATTATCGTATTTTCCTGTTCTGACTCTTACTGGGTCTATTCATTATAATAAATTACTGTATATTATCTCTGCATATTCGTTTTCCTCAATTTGCTTTTCTTTGCGAATCATAAATCTGACTTACTTAGTCTTGGAAGCCATGACTGAAAGCCACTTTCATTAACTTATGTGTTATAGAACTTTTTGGTAAAACACAGATAAGTTTGCCTTTCCAATTTCTTTCAGACCTGGAGACTAGAACTGAGAGAAAAGAGTCAACTTCGGTGCAAGGTTTTTCCAAAGAAGAATCGTGCCATGTTGCAGTCATAGACAGATTGAGAAGGAATAGTTTCTGTGACTCCAATTTAGAAGAAACTCCTCACTGTGAAAATTGGTTAGAAAATTGGCAGGAAAATAAAGAGAGACATTTAAGCAAAGTTTTCACCCACATACAGTCACTACCTGAAGAAAGAGCTCCTGAGCATGATGTATGTTGGAAAGGTTTTGGTCAGAAACCCATCTATCTCACTCAAGATAGAGTTCCCAAAGGATCATATGCCTTTCACTCACTTGGGAAAAGATTGAAACAGAAGTCAAACTTAGTGAAAAAACAGAGAGCCTGTAAAGAGAAAAAACCTCATAAATGTAATGACTGTGGTGAACTTTTTACTTACCGTTCAGTGCTTGTTCGACACCAGAGAGTTCACACTGGAGAGAAACCCTATAGCTGTGATGATTGTGGGAAATCTTTTAGCCACAGAGCTAATTTAACTAAACATCAGAGAACTCATACCAGAATTCTTTTTGAATGCCATGAATGCAAGAAAGCCTTCACAGAAAGTGCAGCCCTTGCAATCCATCAGAGAATCCACATTGGGGAGAGACCTTATGAATGCAATGAATGTGGAAAAGGTTTTAATCGAAGTACACATCTCATGCAGCATCAGTTGATTCATACTGGGGTAAAGCCTTATGAATGTAATGAATGTGAGAAAGCTTTCATTCACTCATCAGCACTCATCAAACATCAAAGAACTCATACTGGAGAAAAACCTTATAAATGTCAGGAATGTGGGAAATCCTTTAGCCATTGCTCATCCCTTACAAAACATCAGAGAGTTCATACTGGAGAAAAGCCATATGAATGTAGTGAATGTGGGAAAACCTTTAGCCAGAGTACACATCTTGTTCAGCATCAGAGAATTCATACTGGAGAGAAGCCCTATGAGTGTACTGATTGTGGTAAAACCTTCAGTCGAAGCTCAAATTTTGCTAAACATCAAAGAATCCATATTGGAAAGAAACCGTACAAATGTTGTGAATGTGGGAAAGCCTTCATTCATTCATCAGCTCTTATTCAACACCAGAGAACTCATACTGGAGAGAAACCCTATAAATGTAATGAATGTGGCAAAAGCTTTAAATGTAGTTCATCCCTCATCAGACATCAAAAAATTCACAGTGAAGAGCATACCTGAAAAATTCCTGAATATGAAGACATATGTAAGTTGTTTCTTTCACTGTTTTATGTACTGGAATGTTTAAAAGACCCATAAAGTGCTTCTTGATGCCTAATTCTTTTATGCATCTGTTACTTTTTAAATACAGTTTTGAGCCATGAATAATTGGTTTATTAATTATGAATACATTTAACTTCCTAATACATGCCTCAGTTTTTATCCTCTGCTCTCCTATGTACCTTTTGGTGGATAGTCATGAAATCCTTAGGAATATAGTTAATAATTACTATTAGATCCAAGTTTCCCTATTTTTCACATAAAACCCTATTTGTTGCTTCTTACTTTGTAAGGAAGTTCTTTTCTGGTATGTTGGGTGAAGAATTTCTATCCTTGTAAGAAAGACATAATTTGAGTCTTTATACTTTGGTGTTATTCTGAACTAGAAAATGGGTCCAAATGTTAACTGTGATTTTTATTTTGTTTTTTTTTTTGTTTGTTTGTTTTTGGACCACACACAGCAATGCTCAGGGGCTACTTCTGGAGTAACTCCTGGAGGTGCTTGGGAGACATCTGGGATGCCGAGAATAGAACCCAGGTTGGCCTCATGAAAGGCAAGCACTCTACCCTGCTGTGCTGTCTCTCCAGCTCCCACTGTAACATTTTTTAAATGTCCTTTATTCTTTGCATTGTACAAATCCGTGGTTTTCTCTATGTCAGGGAAACTCCATTTTTTTTACTCTATTCAATTCTCTTAAACTGTGCTTTTCCAATTTTGAGAAAAAAAATCCCTTGGGTATTTTGGGTCTGAAAGACTGATGCGTTCAATGTGTTATATTTAGAATCACAGAAAAGAAGAACCGAAAGAGCTGTGTGATAGAAGGACATACCTTCCAGTCACATATGAAAGAAGGTTTATGGGACAAGGGCTCACTCACTTAAAGATAGTTTCTTTCCATGAAGAAATTGCCATTTCTCTGGCCTTTGTGTATACCTCATTTATTATTGTTATTGTTATCTGTATATACTTGTTTATCTTTGCTATATCTAGGAGCCTTAAAGGAAATAGAAAAGGTATAAAACCCATTTGTATATTGATATAAATTACATGGATAACCAAAGATCAGTAGTGGAATTGGAAATAAGGAAGCAAATGTTCAATAAATATTTAGTAAAACACTATACAAATGTCAACTTTTATTGTTACTCTGTTACATAGTATGTGGAAAGTTTATAGAAAAGATAAAAAAAGTAGTATAAATTTTGTTCCTAAATCCTGTCCCTTTATGATCATCCAGAAACCAGTCCATGCTCTTGTTGCCTCCATACTACCCGTGTTGCTTATTATAAGTACATCTGTATTGGCCACTTAATACCTGCAGACCACAACACCCTAGAGGAGAGAGAGAGAGAGAGAGAGTAAACAGGGAATACGCCTGCCACAGAGGTGGAGACGGGATGGGGGCTGTTGGGGGAGGGGATGTGGGAGGGATACTGGGAACATTGGTGGTGGGTGGTGGAGACTGTGCACTGGTGGAGAGACGGGTACTTGATCATTGTATGACTGAAACATAAGCACGAAAGTTTGTAAGTCTTTAACTGTTATCTCACAGTGATTCATTAAAATAAAATAAAAAAATAAGTACATCTGTGTAAATTTTAGTTCTATTGTTGCAGAAAAGTAGAGGAGTTGAGCTTAATAAGTGGTGATAGTGAAAGTAAGGTCATTAAGGATGAATTTAGTATAAATCCATCAGTAACGGGAATGAAAACAGTAGGAGGGCTGGAGCGATAGCACAGCGGGTAGGGCGTTTGCCTTGCACACGGCTGACCCGGGTTCAATTCTCAGCATCCCATATGGTCCCCTGAGCACCACCAGGAATAATTCCTGAGTGCATGAGCCAGGAGTAACCCCTGTGCATCAGCGGGTATGACCCTAAAAGAAAAAAAAGAAAAACAGTAGGGAATGAAACTGAAAGGATTGTGAAGTTATTTTGAAAATATGTTTTAAAAACATAAAAGGGCTAGAGTAAATGCTTTTCATGCAGAAGACCTGGGCTCTTCCTATTTCCCTTAGCATAGTATGCCAGAGCTAGCTCATGAGTACCTCCAGGTGTGACAAAAAAAATTTAAATAATACACATTAAAGGAGTGGATGTACATAGAAAGCTGCAAGTTTAAAGACAGTGTAGGAGAATGACTGACAGAAACAACTCTTTTCATTACCTTAATATTCAGATTAATGGTCTAAAACAGAAATTGACAAAGTAACCTAGACCCGTGGACCAAGTTCAGCTTGCTACATTTTTCTATTTTATTGGAACTCAGCTGCACTCATTCACCAATATATTGTCTGACTTTTTTTGTGCTCCAATTAGCAGGCAGAGTTAAGTAGTTTCAGTTGAGATTTTATGCCTTAAAAAGCCATATAAGGGGTAGGAGAGATAGCACAGCAGGTAGGGCGTTTGCCTTGCATGCGGCTGACCTGGGATCGATTCCCAACATCCCATATGGTTCCCTGAGTACCGCCATGAGGAATTCCTGAGTGCAGTGCAAGGAGTAACCCCTGTGCATCGCCAGATGTGACCCAAAAAGAAAAAAAAAACAAAAAACCCAAATAATCTCTATTCAAAAAAAAAAACTGGTGGAAAGAAATTTTTGGAGACCAATATTTGACTAACAAAGTAAAGATACATTTTGCTTTTAATCTAACTTGAATTAGTATTTTAATTCTACAACCTTCACGAAATTATGGTATTTTTAAATACTTAACTCTCTGAGCCCAGTTTCTCTGTAGAATGAGAATAAATTAATCTTCCAACAAGATTGTAATAGGGTTAAATAAAAGTTTTGGATTTTTTTTTTAAATTTTTGGGTCACATGCGGCAATGCACAGGGGTTACTCCTGGATCTGCACTCAGGAATTACTCTTGGCGGTGCTCAGGGGACCATATGGGATGCTGGGAATCGAACCTGCGTCTACCGCATGCAAGGCAAACACCCTACCCACTGTTTTATCAATCCAGCCCCAAATAAAAGTATTTTTAAAAATTGGCACAATAATTATCTATATAGAAAGCCTTATCCTTGAATGAAGAGATGACTTAGTCTATTTGGCATGTTAAAACAATGCTACAAATTGAGTGGTTAAACAAATATTTGGTGTAAACCTCTTGGTAACTATCTCGGCTATTCTTGGGTGTTAGTCTCTATTTCATTAATTTATGTTACCCAGATGAATGCAGTCTTTCTATGTCTGTCCTTTTCTTTCTGACTTATTTTACTTATCATGATACTTTCCATGTAGTACCACTTGTATGTAAATTTCATGACTTCATCTTTTCTAACAGCTACATAGTACTCCATTGTGTAGCTGTACCAAAGTTTCTTTAACCAGTCATCTGTTCTCGGGCACTCAGGTTTTTTCCAGATTCTAGCTATTGTAAACAGTGCTGCAATGAACAAACAAGTGCAGATGTCACTTTGACTATACTTTTTTGTCTCTCTTGGATGAGGATCCTCTCAGGATGGGAGATGCATGCTGAAAGTAGACTATAGACCAAATATGATTGCCACTCAATGCCTCTTTTGCAAACCACAGCACCCAAAAAGAGAGAGAGAACAAAAGGGAATGCCCTGACACAGAGGCAGGGTGGGATGGGGGTGGGGTTGGAGGGTGGGAGGGATACTGGGATCAGTGGTGGTGGAGAATGGGCACTGGTGGAGGGATGGATACTCGATCATTGTATAACTGAAACCCAAGCACAAAAATTTGTAAGTCTACAACTGTGCCTCATGGTGTTTCACTAATAAAAATTAAAAACAAACAAAAACAAATATTTTTCAAAGTTGTGGAGTTTGAAAGTCAAGATCAAGTCTAGCAGATCTGATTTCTGGTGAGAGTGCTTCCTGGTTCGTTGACAGCCTCCTCTTATCTGTGTCCTCACATAGTGAAACAGCAAGACCTCTCTGAAACTAGTTTTGTGAGGTCATTAATCTTATACTCTACTCACAGGAACTAATCACTTCCAAAAAGTCCCATCTCCTAATAGCACTATGTTGAAAATCAGGTCTGAACATGAATGTGGGGTTAAAACAAACATTTCATCCATAGCAAGTATTTAATCATTATTCAGTATAATTGCTTAAGATGAATGCATCTATCATAACTTTTGTTTTTATTAAGAAACCAACTATTCTGCTTTCTGTGTCAAAGAAGACTTCACCGTTTCCCCCCCTTGTGGTTTGTAATATAATTATAGTGTAAAATAATATCAAGCAAACCCGGGATTTCTCTAAGTGGTACTGAAAACTGGACCTTTGCATTTCATTTTTTATGTTTTTTATACACATTCTTTTTATATTTAGTTTTGAACCAGACTGTTTGTATTCCTATATAAATCTTGGGTATTTGGGAATTTTAATGTTCTGCTATTCAAATGTTTTTGGTTACCTATAAATTAAATTTTACTGGTCTCATTGACACACTATCAATAAAAAATATTTATATGTTGTTAGAAACTTATATAGTATAAGTTTTAATTTATAATTTAAGTATATTTTACAAGGTTTAAAATTAGAACCACCCATAAAATATCTCAATCATCAAGAAAAAAATCATATTTTTCATTACTTATATAAGTTTCACAGTTTCTGGAGAGATAGACTGGGGAAACTCTTCCACAGCTACATATAAAGGAGAAGTTTGAAAGAATAGAGGAACATTGTTTTTGCCAAATGACACTGAGTTTTCTAAGTTCAGATACTACTTAGTAAGCATTAGGGAGGGAAAGAGGAACTTCATATAAAAAGTATAGCTACACAGTTAAAAGCACACTTAAAGCAAGAGATGTTTTTAAGATGGCTAAAAATTAGTGTAAATTCCTTCTTGTTTGTTTTTGTTTTGGGGCACACCTAGTGATGCTCAGGAGTTGCTACTGGCTCTACCCTCAGGTTTCACTCCTGGCAGTGCTCAGGGGACCAGATAGGGTGCCAGGGATCAAAACAAGGTTTGCCACATACAGGGCAAGCACCCATCCCTCCACCAGTTTACATTTTCTACCACCAATGTCCCCAGTATCCCTCTGACCACCCCCACCTCACCCCACCCTCATGCCTCTATGGCAGACAATTTCCTTCTTTCTCTCTCTATATTGGGACACTATGGTTTGCAATACAGATACTGAGAAGCTATCATGTTTGGTCCTTCATCTACTTTCAGCACACATCTCCCATTCCGACTGATCTCTCCAACCATCAGTGACTTAGTGATCTCTCTTCTATCCTAGCTGCCTTCTCCCCCAGCTTATGAAGCAGGCTTTCAATCATGGAACAGTCTTCCTGGCCCTTGTCTCTACTGTCTTGGATATTAGTCTCATATTATTTTATATTCCACAAATGAGTGCAGTTATTCTATGAATGCTCCTCTCTTTCTGACTCCTTTCACTTGGCATGATACCCTCCATGT